CCTTAGTAGTTGGAGTCAACGAGGTTACGCCTTTAGCGTTGTTTCTGAGAGAAAGAGTGGAAACACCTGAGCATTGATTAGCAAGAAGCGAGTTAAATAAACCATCCATTTGAAGAAACATGTGGAGTATGTGCTACAAATAATCATCTGTAAAAAAAAAAATCATCTATATGTTTTTGCTTCTCTTAATTAAAAAAAGAGGGGGGTATATATGTTTGATGTCCAAATCAAGTGCGAAAAGTCGGGGCATAGTGTGTGGACAGTACCCCCCACACATACTGTTGGGGGAGATGAGTCAAACTGTGTGTGTGTGTGTGTGTGTGTGTGTACACCTGAACTCCCTCCAGAAGGACGGAGACTAAACTAGCAGTTGATAGCGGTTGCCTCTAGGGAGGAGAGTCCTGAAAGGGGCTGGGAAGGAAGAGTATTTGATAGTGTATCTTGTTATGGGCAACGGGAAGGTCAGCAGTTCAAACCCTCTCACCCAGCAGTTCTCCACCTTCCTCATGCCGCCACCCTGCCACAGAGTCCTCATGTGTGGTGACCCCCAATCACAACGTTATTTTCATTGCTACTTCATCACTGTCATTTGCTACTGTTGTGAATCAGGCAACCCCCGTGCAAGGGTCATTCGACCCTCAAAGGGCTCTCGACCCACAGGTTGAGCACCGTTGCCAATAACCCATCGCAGGAGCGAGAGGGGCTTTCTGCTCCTACAGAGAGTTACAGCAGCAGAAAGTCGAAGGAGCAGTCCTCCTGAGTGGCTGTGGGTTGTGCTCCGAGAGGGTGGAGTTTGAGGAGCTGGGCAGAAAAAGCCGCGTGCTGGGACGGGCGCTAACGCCACCTGGACACCAAGCATCCACGCTGTGCTTTCTCAGGACGTTTTCACCTGAGTTCTCAGCCAGCTCCAGACCACAGCTCACTTCACCGCAGACTCGGACAGAACGGTCTCGTTTTGAAGGAGCCGGCACGGGGCTCTAATGCACACATAACAGCAACTGGATTCAGACCTTTCCTTCAGGCTCCTTTTTATTTTCCACCAGCCCAGAGGATGTCCCATGTCCGTCCCCTGCAACCAGACAAGCTACAGTAGCCCCCAAGGCCGGCCCTGGGACAAGGCCGCGGGGACAGAACTCGGGGCAGCTTAGCGTGGGTTCTGGTCAGAGAAGACCAAGTACATATTGACACAGTGCTCCATTCAGAACCTCTGCTCACTGCATTCCCCGCCCCTCCCTACAGAAACCCAGGGGCGGGGTGGGGATGGGGCGCTCCACTGGGGTCCCGCTGGCTCAGCCTTCAAGGGGTTCTGGCCTTGTGGGGGAAGGGTGGCCTGAGTGCTTCTAGAGGGTTGGTGGGAGAGCTGACTCAGTTCTCCCGAGGAGAGGCTTGAATATCCGGGGAAAGGGTCGGGGAGATACCTGATGGTTCCTAACAAAGAGTCCACCAGCAATTGTATAGGCTTTTTAAGTACTTAATCCTGTTGTTTATCAGGAACCTTTGCACCTGGGCTCTCAGGACACAAGCAAGGCAAAAGGAGCACCCAACAGGCAGGGGTGGGGGCGGGGGCTGGGTAGCTTTGAGAACCGACCCACAGCACTCAGCTGAAGCACTCCATGCTGGCTCGGACGCGCTCCATCTCGTGCAGGAAGCTGTAGAACTGGGGCAGGGTTAATTCTGGGGGGAGAGAATGCAGCTTCAGGCTCCACAAAATCCTACAAGAATGAAGTTTCGCCTTTTCCGGGGGTGGAGGGGTGGGGGTAGGGGCTGGGTACAGCAGAGAAGCTCCTGGAGTCAGGGACCCTGATAAAGAAGGCTCCGGGCTTCTCTGTAAAAGGGTCTAACTGGCGGAACTCGGAACTCAGCAGCACAGAGGTGAAAGGGCACTGCTTAGGAGGGGCAACGCGACCGACTGCCACCACAAGCCTGTGTCTGAGACTGTCAATCCCAGGCAGTCCTCCTGGCCCCCTTTTCCAAAAAGGCTTTTCAGCTGTGGAGCCCCCCACCCCCACCCCACCCCTGGACCATCCTGTGGAGGAAGGGCACAGAGGAGGCAGCCTCGTCAGGCCCTGGCTTCTGGCAGAGGCATCTGTGGCAGACCTCGGGAGCCCACGGACTCACGGGAACATGGACAACGGTACCAGGCTGGAATGGGACTCACCTATGTATACATTCTCCGTTTGGGTTCCTTTTTTTACCACCAACTTTAACTGATGGGAAAAGAGGGAGAAAATGTAAAGATGAAAAGCGTGACAAGTGGGCAAACTCTTGCAGCCCTTTGACCCCAAGCATCCAGCTTCCTACTTGAGGGGGACACCGGAGCTGATGGGTTCACCCACTGCCAAAGACCCTGGCAACCCCCACAAGGAGGGCCGATCACAATTTATATTCTGAGTGATCAGGTTCCCATTCACCCCAAAGGGGGCCTGTCACCACCCCAGCTTGAGCCTGGGCATGCGTCGATGAGATGCACAGGACACTGGGGTGACAGCTAACTAACTGGGGAGTTAATGGAACCCAACATAGATTCAGTAACTTTCGACCATGTCATGCCCTTTGTTTTGAAGGGCCAGGAGAAGACTTACTTGTAAAAAAATACTCCCCACTTTCTCCAGTTCGCTGCTCCCAGATGTCACTGCGACACAGAAGAGAACACTCGTAAGTAACCGGCTGAGAACCTCAATCTCCTGGTCCAGCCAAGCTACTTGGGCTGGGGCGTGGGGGTTGAGGGGGTGAGCCTTTGGATAGCAAGATGTGCACTGCTGTGGGGAACCAACTGATGAATCTGGAGAGAGCTGCTGAATGGGGCACCTGTGGGCAGAGAAGCAGCCTCTGACCTGCCCACCCGCCGCAGCAGTCTCAGGGCTGTGGGATATGCTGGCCCCATGAAAACTCCCTAGAAGGCTCTGCAGGCCTGCTCCATATCTGGATGGACCCAGGACTCGCTCCCCAACTTACCTCCAAACTTCCACTCCATGTCCACCAGCTGGTTAATCATCAGCGTCTGACCTATCGCCCAGTGAGCCAGGGTGGGGGAATTCTGTTTCCACTACAACAGGTGCAAAACAACCCAGTCAGTCGCAACAACAACAAACCTCCCTCCCAGACTCTACCCCAAGCACAGAAATTGGGAAGAATTCAGAACCCAGAATTCGGAATTGGGACTGAATTCAGAATTCAGTCTGTGTGTAGGTCTAGGGCAGTGCTGGTGCCCGTCGTGCGTTACCGCTGGACTGCCTGTGAACAGAGAGGTGGTGTTCCAACCCACCAGTCCCTCTGCGGGAGAAAGATGGGTGAAAGCCTTCGAACCCCAGGGGGCAGTTCTGTCCTGCAGGGCTGCTAGGAGAGGGAAATGAAGGCAGTGGGGGTTACCTTTGGGTTGGAGGGATGGGGGAGTCCACAGTGGTAGGAGACAATGTGAAGGTTTTATTCTAAGATTTCATCCAGATTGAAATGAAAACGGTGTGACACTGACTCCCTCCCTCCCTGCCACAGAGGCCATGCCGACTCATCGGGATCTTACAGGACAGGGCGGAACTGCCCCTGTGGGTTCCCAAGACTAGCTCTTTACAGCAGCAGGCAGCCCCATCTTTTTCCTGCAGAACTGGCTGGTGGTTTTGAACTGCTGACTTTGCAGTTAGGAGCCTCTACTCCACCAGGGATCTTTATACAACATGTACATACACCCAGTTACATCAGGGATGAGAGCTGCACTGAGAGTACAGGGTAAAACGCTGTATGTGTGGCATTGGGGGCAAACCACATGCAAAGATTTAGCAAGGAAACGATGAATGATTGAGGGTACTGCTCAGTCCACAATCCTCACTCCCCACCCCCCAAGAAAAACAAGTGATCTTAATTAACCTTGATTAAAAGCAATTATAATACCTTTTCACTAAAGTAAGTGGCTTTGTCCTCACCAAGACCTAAAAGAGAAGGGAAGGCTGCATCAACATAATAAAGAGCCACAGAGGTCCAGAACCCTGAATGACCTTGAGGGACGACCTACCCAGAGTTATGAAATCTGCCCGGACCTGCTCCGCTGTCAGGCCCTTCTTCAAGGCACCTGAAAAGCAGGGAGAGCAGTTAAAGGAGAAATCCATTAATCACCAAGTCGTTGCAGGGGTCCTCAAACTACGGCCCGCGGGCCACATGCAGCCCACCGAGGACATTTACCTGCCCCGCTGGGTGTTTTTGCCCTGTTTGTTTTTTTACTTCAAAATAAGATATGTGCAGTGTGAACAGGAATTTGTTCATAGTTTTGGTTTTTTTTTAACTATAGTCCGGCCCTCCAACGGGTCTGAGGGACAGTGAAATGGCCCCGTGTTAAAAGTTTGAGGACCCCTGAACTAGAGGGTAACAAGCTAAAGCACACAGAGGACTAGACCCAAAGCCCCAGCCAGCCCCGGGGACCTCAGTCCAGCCCCAGGGGGACCTCGGTCCAGCCCCAGGGAGACCTCGGTCCAGCCCCGGGAGACCTCGGTCCAGCCCCAGGGACCTCAGTCCAGACCAGGGAGACCTCAGTCCAGCCCCGGGGACCTCAGTCCAGCC